TGCCCGTGTCTGATAAATCTGGTTTCAGGCTTTGTGCACTTTGTTATCGACCCTGGACCGTCGGGGTGCTCGGGAGGCTTTCCTTTTTGCATCCTTGGAGAAACAAAAAGCATATCTTTGCCAAGCAATGTCCAGTATGCCAAATGATGGTAGAATCAGGCAGCTTATATTTGATCAATCGGAATAGAATACATCTAGGGAAGATAGTTCGTCTCCAGTGTCTGATGTGGACAACCAATTGAGCCTGAGAGAAATGCAAAATGATCTTCCCTCTTCTACTGTTGCCATAGTCCCTGAAGTCGGGAAGAAAGGAGAACAGAAAGACCAATGGAACGGTTCCCAAGCTTTTGACTCGTGGGTATGGAAGTCGTTTTATTCGGAACTCAACACCGTTAAAAATGGGAAGAGGGCATATATTGACTCACTCAGAAGATGTGAACTGTCATGACCTCTATTGGAGAGATGAGAAGCACTGTAAAGTTTGCCATACAACATTTGAGCTTGATTTTGATCTAGAAGAAAGATATGCCATTCATTCTGCAGTATGTCAGGACAGTACAAATATTAACAAATATCATAGACAAAGGTTACTGTCATCCCAGTTGCAAGCACTCAAAGCTGCAATTTATGCAATTGAGGTGAGTAGTTGTAAAGTTAAGCATTACAATAATTTCACAGAATATTGATGCTTATCACTTATATGCATTTAGCATAAAGATGCTTTCTCTTTTCTGGTCATTTAACTTGTTCTAGTGTGTTTGTATATTGATTATTTCTAAGCGTGGTTTCTTTGGTGATGTGCTGTTTTTATGTTGTGCATACTGCAAACATTGGTTTAGTTTGCCTTTTCTGGAAACCAAACTCTGTGAATTTTGTCATTAAATGGGTTGCTTTAACTGTTGCAGCACTAGTCGTGGTTAGATGATATGTTTGAATTTATTTTCTTTTTGCAGAGAAGAAGCTAACAGAGAAGTAGAGGAGGAGGAAGAGAGTAATGGAACTGTTAAACTTGCCTCTTTAATGACGACAATTACAACTATATATAGCAGTCTTAGAATAACAAATCATGCTGATAATGAGGAAACGGCCTATCCTACTGAAG